AAACCTTGTCTCAAAAAAAAAAAAAAAAAAAAAAAAAAAAAAAAAATCAAATTATACAGTAGATGTTCTTTTTTTTACTTTGAGTTTTACAGTGATTTAAAATGTTAAGAACAGAAATTTCTGTAAGTACAGAAGTAGACGGTTAATATTATCTGAGACTATCTACTAAATATTACATGAGACTCTAAACTAAATTTAGTTAAATTATACCACACTTAAAATTGTCATTTAGCTCTATGGTGAGTTTTAAAATTATTATGTTTTTCAAGACAGAGTTTCTCTGTGTAGCCTTGGTGTCATAGACTCACTTTGTAGACCCGGCTGGCTTCAAACTCACAGAGACCTGCCTGCCTCTGCCTCTGCCTCCCTAAGTGCTGGGATTATAGGCATGAACCACCATAAATTATTTTTAAAAACTACTAGTTTTTTTTTTAATTTTTTATTAATTACACTTTATTTATTTTGTATCCCCCCCATAAGCCCCTCCCTCCTCCCCTCCCTATCCCACCCTCCCTCTCCTTTCTGCATGCATGCCACTCCCCAAGTCCACTGATAGGGGAGGTTCTCCTCTCCTTTCTGATCTTAGTCTATCAGTTCTCATCAAAAGTAGCTGCATTGTCCTCTACTGTGGCCTGTAAGTTTTTAATTTAAAATAACCTTTAAAAATGGTCATTGCTTTCCTTACAAGTGCCTGCATGGTGACATCCTCAGGGATGCCGACTGCTAAGCTTTCTTTCCCTGGGAATGCTGGGTCCAGACATGTGTTTCTTGTGTACTGATATTGAGGGCCTAGACAAGTGGCCACCGCAATCAAGGAGGCATTGCTACCACCCTCAGGCCATATACCAAGAAGATGGGTTGGGGTTTGAAGACTGCAAAGGTCCAACTGTTTGGACACCCTTCTGAAATGAAGTTTCCAGATGTTTGCCTTCCTTTGCCTGTGTCTCCAAGGCTCCCAGAGCACACCACGAAGGCCTTGGGATTCTAGCTAGACCCTATCTACAAGCTTCCCTCTTTTTTACACAGTTTCTCAGTTTGACTATAGAAGCAAAGCATAATTTACATATAATGACACCCCTTTCAGGGCACTTCCAATTAGCATTTACACACAGCTGTGTAATCACCACTGTGACTAATACACGGAACAGCCCCATCACTCCACAAGCAGGTCCTTTTGTAGTCAATGCTTCCCACACCCTTGATCTTGGGCAACCACAGTCTTTATCCTGTGAGCTTGGCCATTTTGAGAATGTGATGTAAATAGACTCATACAGTATGCAAGCTTTGGGTCCTTCATTTGGCGTAAGACACGAGGAGCCACCCTGCTGGCTGTACCGGCAGACTCTGTCTACTGTGCTCAGTGGGCTTTGTGACGTAGATATCCCAGTCAGTCTGTCTCGCCACTAGCCAGTCACTACAGACACTTTGAGATGGACTTTTCCGAGAACAGACATTTTCATTTCCCTTGAACTTCTCATAGCAGCTATACCATCTCTTGTGTATCCTGTAATCTTCAGTTTTTCTCATTTGAAAAGTTGAGCTGTTTCCTTACTTTTATTAGTTCTTTATTAGATAAAAATCTTTCATCAGATGTGTGATCTTCAAGTACTCTCCCTCTCTCATCGGCTTCTCCCCTGCCCCAGAAAACAGGGTCTCACTATGTAGCTATGGCTGTCTTGGTGCTACCTATGTAGACCATGAACCCATAAAGAGCCACCTGCCTCTCGGGTGCTGGGATTAAAAGCGTGCGCCACTATGTCCAACTTTCGACTACTTTCTCTAAGCCTAGGGTTTTGTTTTCTCAAAAGAACCTTTGGAGAAATTCTTGCTTCTAAAGTCCAATTTATCAATTTTTCTTTTATGGATCATGCTTTTGATGTGATACCTAGGAAATTTTTACTTAAACCAAAAGGTCAACATGCCTTTTCTTTTTCTCTTTCATCTTTCCTCCCTCTGTTCTTTTGTGCAGGTGTGTGTGTGTGTGTGTGTGTGTGTGTGTCCAGAGGTCAACCTCAGGAACCACTTCACCTTGTTTTCTTGTGGCAGGGTCTCTCATGGGGACCTGGAGCTTGCAGAGTAGGCTAGCTTGATCCCTGCAAGCCCCAGGTATCCCACTGTCTGTCTCCCCAGTGCTGGGATACCACATCTGGCTTTTTACCTGGATGCTGAGGAGTGAACTTATGCCCTAATGCTTGCTGCCTGTGACATCTCCCCAGCCCAGCTCTGTCTACACATGCTTTTAAATTTTCATCCAGGTTCTTCTTAACCCCTGTGATAAACTGGCAGTCATCATAGCAGCCTGCTGAGCTGTTTTTAAACTATTGTTTTTACTAGTGTTTTCAAAAATCTCATGCAAAATAGCATACTCAACTGCGGCAAACTGACAGCCTGAAACGTGGTACCCAGATCAACAGGCAGGCCTGGGTTCCATCCGAAGTAAAGTAAACAAACAAACAAATGATAAATGGCTGTGCGTGTGTGCCAGCACTACCACACACTGTAGAGGATGGCTTGGGATGGGGCCCTCTAGACAACCTCTTCCCTGGGGCCTAGGGTCTCCCTGAAAGTGAGTTTTTACAAGCAGACTCACTTCTCTTGGTAGTTAAAGTGTCTGTGCCTGTAGATGTACAGGATTCTGACTTGTGAATTGGGAATTGGGAACATGAGAAACGTGAGGTGGTGATGGAAGTGTTCATCACCAAGAAGGCACAGCGTGGCGACACCCAGCCCTCAGGATCAGAAAGGCCACAGTACAGAAGGAAGGTGACTCCCCAAAGCCCAAGACCTCATTTACCCACAGCAACACGAGGGGCCAACAAGGAAGAAGCAGCACAGAGGCCCCTGGGAGTCAGTGGGCTGTCAGAATGCACCCCACCTCCTCTACCATCATGTCCTGAGCCTGCCCACCTGTCAGATACATTCTCCTCAGCCGCTCCTCTAGCATATCCTGAGCCGTTCTAGCAAAAACCCGTCACTCTTCTTTTGGCTAGAAATCTTTTTTCCATGCTGCTTTATCTGCCTTTGAACATGTTTCTCTGAAGTTTAGGGGAAAAATAAAAGCTTTGCCTTGAAACTTGAAAATGGTTTCTTACCACTCTATGATCAGCACTGGCCATCTTTGATTTGCTGGAACTGGAGTGACTTAATATTTCAAACTAACTTGAGAAATTTGCTTTTCTCAAATGATAAAAAAAAAAAATGACCTGATTACAGAAGTATTAGTGTAAATTTACATAAACAGATGCTGGTTTTTCTTCAGTCTGTGGGACTCAGAGTTCCAATAGAAATGAAACTGTGTTGGAGATCAGTGGAGATGTGCTCTCTGCTATATAGATAACACTTAGAAATTTATGAATGAACTGAATTTCAGCTGGGGCGAGTAGATGATGTCAGACCTCACTCATACTGCCCATGGAGTCTTAGTTGAGACATCAACTAAGGAGCATCCATGGTCTGGACCTAGGCCCCCTGCACACATGTGGCCAGTGGGGGGGGGGAGCGCCTGGCGGGGTGGGGGCTGCTTCTCACATGGACTCTATTGCTTTTGGATCACTTTCTCCTGGCAGGGCTGCCTTGCCCAGCCTCAGGGATGAGGATATGCTCAGCCCTGATGTGACTTTATATGCTGGGAAGGGTTGATATAGGAGGAGGGCTCCCCCTTTTCTGGGGGAGAAAGGGAAAGGGGTAGGAGAAGGAAGGGCAAGGGCAGAGCTGGGAGAAGAGGAAGAAGGGGCATCCTTGGGATGTAAAGTAAATAAACTGAAATGAAAATATTTTACAATTATTTTTAAAATTTTGATGTAAATAAATATTTGTCAGTGTGTGTAAAATATATATATATATAAAACTAGAATGTATGGGACCAAAATTTCTGGAGAAAGGTCACATGCTGCCAGGCACACACTGACACAGAGTAGGGACCAGAGGACAGAGTACATACTTGGCCCTTGATTCTTCCCATTTTCGTCTTTTCTCATCAAAAGTTCTCTTCATAACTTCATACCATTTTCTGAAATCAAACTGTGGCTTTTCTGAAAGAAATTAAATCCATGCTAAGCAGTGGAATCCATCACATTAAAACAACACGTTCTCCACATCTAAGTTTCTCCCTGAATTGAGAACATTCACAGAACAGCTCTTGGGGAGAATCAGCAGAGCCACCGCCACTCTCCTGTAAGGTGTGGCCAAAACTGTGGTCCCACAGGCCTGTCCTGAAACCATCTTTTTACACATCTCTCCTCAGCTTTAGCAGCTTTGCTGCTTCCTGGAGATGGGATCACACACTTTGCTCTCTGTTACACAACCGGCCCCTCCTCCCAGCTTCCACACCCAGCACCGCAGCCTCACTCCTGGTAGTACTCCAGTACACCTGGCCACTGTGTCGAGAAGCAAATGATTGATAAACATGTGAAATGGTGCTTTGGGGGATAAAGCCAGACCTGCATCTTCTCAGGACCCATTTCTGTTCTTCCTACTCCTAATTCAGAGATTCTGTGCACGAGGAAGGAAGCGCACGGCAGCAGAGCTAGAATGTGTTTGAGACACAGGCCAGAGGGACCACAGACTCAAGACACGGCAAGGATAAGCAGGATTATGCTCCATTACCCTCTAATAAGAATGGCCTCTCTAATGTCTAATTACAAATCTCTTCAAATGGCCAATATAACCAAACAGTACAGCCTTGTAGGCTATACAGCCAGAGAGGAGACCAACCAAAGAACTGTAAGGGCAGAGAACAGCTAACGTTAGTCAGCTCAAGGGGTTTTGATCCCCAATCTCCTCAAGGGTAAGTGGTGAAGAGGATGGAGGTATGGTACACAGGGCAGGGGAAGAGTATGAAACAATCCTTGTGCTGTTGGCGGGAGCTGTGAAGACTACTTGCCAGAGGACCCTCTCAGCCATGGTCTCCATAACTGACCTTGCCTCTATCGTTGAAGGAACGTCAGAAGACATCTGGCTCAGCCCTGTGAGTGCATTACTGTGAGCAGGGGCAGGAGAGGTGCCTTATTTCATCGCTATTACAGAAAATACATGAACTGAGAACAGTAAGCCCAAACTCCTAAAACCAATGAAAAAAAGTCCTTCTACAAAACAGGAACTGCATCTGAATTTAAGATATAGATACAAAGATGCACCGAGTTATCTTAGGCCAGTAACTCTGCTCTGCATCAGATAAACTTTTTATCTGGATTGTAACCCAGCTACTTGGGAGGCTGAAGCAAGAGGATCTTAAGTCAAGCACAAAGTAAAACTGACCAACCTGGGCAATTTAGTGAGACCTTGTCTTAAAAAGGGGCGGGGGGAGGGGGGGCGAGGATACAGCTCAGTGGAAGAGAGCTGGCCAAGCCACGGATAAGCCCAGTGTTCAACACATACTAACTACCTGTCTCCTTACAAAGTGCACACTAGACAATCATCTCAGAGTTTAACAAACACCAGCAGTCTAACAGGATAAGGCGTAATTGGGCCATGAGTTATAATTCTGTAGGCTAAAGATCCAGAGGAGTCTGGAGAGCAGCAAGGGTGGCAGGCATGGCCAGCTCTGGCTTTGGAAAGGCGGAACTGGTGTGTGGTGAGTGGCTGTGGAGAACAGGCAGAACACCGCTCACAGGAGAATGAAGAGGCACTTGCTAAGTCTGAAGGGCTGTAGGGATATGAAAAGAGCACTTCACGAAGAAGGGCCAGGACAGGGAGCCACAGAAACAAAGCCATTGCAAAAAGTTCATGGCCTGCTCTGGCTAGTGTGCAGCCAGCAAGCCAGTAAGAACAACAGATAGGTCTTGAACACAGAAGTCACCTGAGTTTCTTGGCAGCCACAGATACAATTAGATCTACAGATGGAAAAGTCAGCATGCATCCCAGTCTGTGCTCATACAGACACATGTATGTACGACTGTCCATCCTTTTCCTCCACATGGACTACCTTTTAATGAATCATTTACAACCACTTTGAATTTGATTAATAAAAAAAATCCAAGTACCTTCTCTGTGTTCTTCATTATATGCTTCAGCAAGATCCGAGTAAGACCTGGAGGCAACGACATACAAGACAACATCTTTAGATGCCATTGTCTGGACAGTTAATTGTTCATTTTATTTTCTTTTTGAGACAGGGTCTCACTGCGTAGCCCTGGTTGGCCTGGAACTTTCTTTGTAGAATAGGCTAACCTGAACTCACAGAGGTCTGCCAGCCTCTGTCTCCTGAGTGTTGAGATTAAAGGTGTGGCCTGCCATACCCAGCTTGGAGAGTTCATTTTGAATTCTGAAGGGAAAGCAGCAAAGTTGGAGAGGCAATCACCAACGTGGAAGAAGACACTGAAGATCTTCATTCCTGCGACTTTCAAGAGGCTGGCATTGCAGCGCACCTTTATGATCTAAAATAATCTCAGAGATGCGGTGCCGGGAGCCTGAAGGCACCCTGATATGGTGCCAAGCTAATTCTTTACACTATAGGATGCTTTAAAGCAGAAATACATGGGGATGGTGAGAAACACTGCAAGCTCAGGAAAAGGTCTGATCGGGTAGCCTGAGTGCTCTCTAGAAATCCCCGTGGCTGCAGCACACCAGACTCCATCCTGCTGTGAGAACAGGACTCCTGCATTCTGAATAACTGGCAACAGCAATGATTCTCCCCGCTGTTTTTAAGAAACTGGAGTCAGTTCAACGAAGGGCTACCTGCCACTGACTTACCATTCCAATTTGTCATCCAGCAAAAAGAGCAGTTTCAATACAACCACAATGACAGCTACAGCCTGCACATCATATTTAACTGTCTTTTTCATTTTAGCTATAGGATCAAACGTCAGAAAATCCACTTCTCCGATTCCAGTCAACTTTACCACTTGGCAGGTTAAACTGTGCATTTCCTCTGTTGAAAAAAAAAATGGTTAAACACAAATTAAATTACCTGACTAACTATGCATATGCATATTACCTGGCAATACGCATATTCATACAGTATCTGGCATCTTTACACATCTGATTTGCTTGTAAGGCAGGGTCTTGCTATACAGGCTATGATGGCCTTGAACTCATGACTCTCATGCAGTGTAGGCTGGGATTACAGGCTTGCAACACCTTACCCAGCAATCTTCTATTAACACAGGATACCATGCAGGAATTTGGAGAGCAATTTTTTAATAAAATAATACTAAAAAAATGAAGCCAGAGCAGAAATAGTAACGGGCAAATCTTGGCAAGTCCTATTTGACCTCATAAGCATTTCTGTGTGGGACACATTTGGGTCTCACGCAGACGGCCACACACCAGTTTTGTGATGCCCCATACATGCCCCACACTTGTCTCTACAGCGAGACACATTCACTTCCTTACAAGGACAACCTTCTCCAGGAATGCTGTGAGTCCTGGAGGCTCCGAAAGCTCTAAGCTAGATGCCTTGCTTTCTCACAAAAAGGCCAAATAACATGAGACTTAGACCCTAGGACCTGTATCCAGCTTCTCCACCAGTGGCCACGCGAGCAGAGTCACACAGCCTCAGCTTCCTCACCACTATTTTACTTCAGGACAGGGCTTTGCTGTGTAGCTTAGGCTTGCCTCAGTTGTGCTCCTACTGCGGGTTGGGATTCCAGGCATGAGCCACTATATGCAGCCGTAACTTCCCTTACTTGTTAAGTGGGTTATGAGAGCACTGAGTGAGATGAAACCAGATTATACAGATGAGCATACTTGGAAAATTCCTCACGCCCCTACATAGAAGAGGTGCACAGTCTCTCCTAACTAACAGAATGGACACAGGTCTGCCCTGCAGCCGACTGACTTCATTCCCTCCACGGAGCCCATGGTGCAGGTTAAAGCAGACTGTGGAGTCCTGCCGCTTGGACCAGCTCTGTGTGACCTCAGATGAGCCACAATAGTGCCTTCTTGATGATTACGAATATGACGTGAACTGACCTGCCTAAAGCAGTCAGGTCAGTGCTGACTGACCTCCATCCCTGTCTGTCCTCTCCTGGTGACTGTCCTTAGCTCCCTCCTGAACTGAGCTCCCTTCTCCTGACCACCCCCAGTCAGGGTGTAATAGGTCATCTCACACGCCTTCTGAACTGTTAGCTCCCAGCCCCAACAGGTCTCAGATTTCCCTGAAGCCCACACTGCTGCTTGCCTCTCCTTTGCACAACTCTCTGTCCCTTCACCACAACAGTTCTTTTCCTCATTCCACATCACAAGCATCTCAGATCTGACTCTCATGTCCTAGGTCATGGCTATACAGCAATTGCTTCTACAGAGACCTACAGAGAGCTATGCAACACCAGCAGGCTTTCCAGATAGCCTTGTCTTGGTGCTAAGACAGCTCCCCCAGGAGTGCCTACATGGACTGATGCTTTATAATCTGAAGCCCGACACACAAGGATTGTCACATCATAATCTGTAGTGCTTTCCCTCGTCTGCTAGACTAGGAACCCGACATAGACCATGTGTAATGAAGCAGGAGCAACGGAAAATGGCATACATTGTGATAACTCAGCAACAGTCACTGTGAGGCTGAGTATGGTGACTGATGCCTCCCAGCACCCAGGAGGCAGAGGCAGAAAGATCTCCATGAATTCAAGGCCAGCCTGGTCTGTACAGTGAGCTCCAGGCCACATAGACAGACCCTGTCTCAACATTCCCCTCCACAATAACAACTGGAAGATAACAAAGCAACCAAGCAGATAAAGAAGTCCTAGACATCTTGTATTTCTAGTCCAGTACAAAATTCAGGGCTGGCTTTTGCCACAAGCTGCACCAGGGTTACCTAACACACATGCTCTGCACAAGGTGGCTGAGGCTCTCATCACAGTCCTCACTGCCCTAAAAAGCTCCCTGGGCTATCCACACTGCTCTCCATGGCTTTGGGAACTGGAACTTGCAAATGGTATCAGGCTTCAAGCACTGTGTGAGGTCATCTCCGAGACCACTATACTTGTCCTTGCTAGCTTAGTCTGGTCTTGAGCTCTGGGCCTTCTTCTTCCACCTCTCAAGCGCTGACATCACACTTGGCTAGTATTTTTATTTTTAATTAGAATTTGTTATGCAGCACTAATGTTCTCAGGTGAATAGAGTGTGGCTTTTCCATACAGGTCATCAGTAGCCCACACTGAAGTACTTGCTGCTTTGCCTGCACTAAGATCAACTTGCCACAGCAGCCACGTGAGTTCTCCCAAGCCTAGGTTACTCAGAAATAGAGCTGTTTCTGAGCAGCATCCCTGTAACTGTGTTAGATGGCCGAAGTTAGTTTAGGAAGGCATCTGAATTAAGTTCCTGGTACTAAGGACTCCGTCAGGTGGCTTGAGCAGTCCGCAGCTGAAAGAAAGGCCTTACTTTTCTGCCTCACATAACTCAGCAGCCCAGCCTCCTCCCCGGCACAGCACAGCTCACCAGGGAGATTGACCTCCAGTAAGTATTTCATACACAGGGTGTTGGGGTGGAGGTAGCAGTCTTCGCTTATGTCCGGGAAACGAGGCAAGTCTAAAAATACGGCGACTTCGATCATGTTTTTATAGATGTCTTCATAGTCAGGCCAAGACTGAAATTTAAAAAGGACATAATCAACATAGGAATCCCTGCAACATAAATTATCTAAAAAGATTTTCTTAAAATTATTTTAAAGATATTTTCTGACTTAAAGGTAATGTGTAAATGAGGGAAGCAGTATGTGGAGGAGAGACGGTGCGGCAGTCCGCAGCATTTGCACTCGTGGGGAGGGGCACAGACCAGTTCCCAGCACCCGCATCGGGTGGCTCACCTGTACTCAGCTCCAGGAGCGCCAACCCCCTCTTCCAGTCTCCATGGGCACCTGCCTGCCTGCATGTCACATGCACACACAAATAATCTTTTTTTTTTAAGTAGTATATGGGTTGGTAAGATGGCTCAATGGGCACAGTGCTTGCTACCAAGCATGATGACCCGAGTTCAACTCTTGAGACCCACATGGTGGAGGCAGAGAACTGGCTTTGGCAAGTTGTCTTCTGACGTCCACATATACCACAGAGCATGCAAGCTGTGGCTCCTGTACCTCCCCCAACAAGATAAATAAACAAATGTAACAAAAGTACTAGGTATTTCTAAGACTAGGCATGGCAGTACACACCTTTAACCCCAGGACCTGGAAGGCAGAGACGGACATATCTCTCTGAGTTCAAGGCCAACTTGGTCTACAGTGAGCTCCAGGCCAGCCCAGGCTACATAGCGAGATCCAGTCAGACACAAAAAAGAATTATGTATGCATTAAGTAAAATTTAGAGTACAGAAAAAGTATGAAAGATAAATACTCATAAATCCTTCCTATTCAAATTTAGCAATTTTAAACAATAGTGATACTAAGTTAAAAATCCCACATAGTTCTGCCTGGCTCATAAAACTCATCCTGGCCTCACTCATGATCCAATGAAATCATTACTTCTCACCTTAGACCTGGAGAAAGATAAAGCTGAAAAATCAGCTAAAGACACACTGGGTGAGATCCAATCCAGTAGCAGAGCCTTGTCCAGCCTTAGCAAGGATGTAGGTTCGAGTCTCAGTATCACAAATCAATCAACCCGACTCGAGTCATGGTGTTGTCCTAACTTCGGGAGCACACAACCTTCTCCCCTCCTCTCCTGTGCGTTCCCATTCCTCGTCAGAGCACACTAACAGGTACAGCCCACGGTCACCTAATATCTGCTCCCAGGAGGGAGATGACGCCACGCTCGAAGTCTACCAGCCAAAAGTCTGCAGCTCGGCTTCATGCTAACGCCCTCCACAGGAAGCTATGTACAATCCTCCTTGACATTTTAGAAGTCTGGAGCTTACTTGGAATCACATTCTCCCCTTTTTTTCCTCCATATAACTTATCCATATGAGGCTTATGAACATGGCTACTGACATAAACAAATGTTTTATGGGATTTCAGGAAACCCCAGGTTTTCGTTAAGGTGGGGACCCTGCTAAGTGCTCTTGACAGAAATGTGAGTGTCAGACTGAAGAATTTAAGTTAGCCTGGGTGACTCCCATTTTGAAATAAGGAGCCATCTTGACCAGGAGCTGAACTCAGGTACCAGGAAATATCACAGAATGTGTACCTGGCAGAAAACAAATTTAGCTCTCCAAGCAACGGCCTCCAGAAGATATTACAGAATAAAAGTTTAGTAAAAAATAGAGACAATCACCCTGGCAATTGTGATTACCCAATTCTATAACATCAAGGCATGAACCCCCCTGCTTTCTCTCATGGAAACATGAACCCCCCTACTTGCTGTCATGGAAACCCCCTGCCTACAGTCTTTCCCTTTAAAAACCCTGCTCAGTCAGGGCTCAGGGTCCCACTTCTCTACTGTTGTGTCAGTGAGACTTGGGTCCCGAGTTCAATCGCTCTCGTAATAAAGCTCTCTTGCTTTATTTTAGCATCAAGTCATCCCCGGGTGGTCTCTGAGGGTCCCATGATCCTGGCATTACAAGACATTGTATAATGACACTGTTTGTAAAACCCAAGCAGGAACAACATGATTGACTGTCAGGGATAAGACAGATGAGGAGATCTTGGTATTTCACAATGCAACATGAATTGACAATAAATTGCACTCTACATGCAACAGTGTGAGTTTTCAAAATGTACATGTTCAAAGAAAGATGCCAGACATAAGGGAAGGCCTCAGTTTGTAAAAAGTAGAGGACTCAAGAGGCTGGGACCTAGTCTCACATACAGTTAAGTCAGGACAGTTTGATTCCAAGGTGGGCTGGCTCAAGGCTGGAGGGAGGGACCTGGCGATGCTGGAGGCCAAAGGTGCGGCTGCTCAGGCTGTGAAAACCCACTGTGCTGCACACATTTTGTGGTGTGCATCTCCCAGATGTCAGTTCACCACAGTAAAAATGAAAAGGAGAAGGTAAAGACAATCCCAACTAAGCACACTGCTTAGCACAGAACTACTGTGCACATCAGCATTGTGAGAGAAAGTAAAGACAGTAGCAAAGGAAATCTACAAGTCCCGGGTGGGAAGATGCCGGGCCTCCTTGCAGACCTCTAATGACGCCCACACAGCACTTCCCCATGCAGACATTCCATTACTTTCTCTCTTTTTTTTGGTGGGGAGGAGGGTACATGTTCTCCCACTGAGTTATCCATAGAGCTTCAGTCTCCTTTAATGGGGCTAAGCATTAAAAACTTCTCCCTTAGTTATAGAAACAATTGCTCCCCACAGTCAGTGAAATGCAGTTGTTTAGAAAGCCCTGCTGTAGAGTCCCATCTTTTCCACCTTCTACATGTATGAATGTGCTTGGGAGCCAACTGAAGGAATTATTATTTCTTTATAAAATGTCACATTGTTAAACTCAGCTCTTCCACAGATACAAGGATGGGGTGATACTTTATAGGAATTCAGGAGTGACATGATTAATCTACAGTTGGGGAACACAAAGTGAACTGTTGGCAATTCAAAGTGGCAATGTGTTTTTTTTGTCAAGTCCTTTTATCATTGAGATAAATTAATTCTACTTATATGACAAAATACTATTAACTGTATTCTAATTTGCCAATTTAAAAGAGAAAAAAGGAAAACAAATTCTCATCAATCTTTGGAAGGAAAGTGTCTGTTTGCTTAAAAAAAATAACTCATTTAGAATTCTGTTTCTCTCTGCAGAAAGCCTACAGTGGCTTTGAAGCTAAGGCAATTTTAGCATCACTGACAGGATTTATGACAGCCCTAATCCTTTTAAATAAGGCAAGGAGGAGACATAAGTAAGTACTTTTTACCTGCAAGCAAAACACTAGAGCAGCACATGTCCCCTTAGAAAAACAGTCACCTCACTTGAAAAAGTGATTTAATAGATGACAAATTCCTGACAAACAGGTTGTTAATGAGCAGTAATTCGGTGGGCTAATACGACTAAGTATGTTTTTGAAACTACCACACAAAGAGCTGATCCATCAATCCAAACAGCATTGGTCACCATCTTTCCAAATATGGCCTGAGGAGAAGATAATTACTCACAATGTTAATCTACTCATTTATACTAAAAGCTAGATTCTAAATTTACCTAATCATAATCTGATTTTAGACTTCGCTTTTACGTTTTCCTACTTAAGTGTTCATCTTGGCTTTGAGTTGGCTTTGCAGCCCAAGGTGGCCTACATTTACTAAGTATCCCAAGCTGACTTCAGACTTGTGATTCCCTGGCCTCTACCTCCCAAGTTTTAGGATTATAGATGTGAGCTACCACTCTTGGGAAATTTTATTTTTTTTACTTTTTTTATTAACAACACTTCAATTTATTCAAAGCAATTCAGTTTCAAAAACTTAAGTTACAGCAGTCAGGAAAAAAACAGAAACACATGCTCAGTACTGCCTGTTCTTGTGTTTAGAACTGTGGTAGCTTTATTCAAAATACAGCTGCACAAAAGTATTAATTCAAAGTCTCTAAGGACTTAATATACTTTATATACACATACTAGAAAAATTCATTATTAAACAGGTCCAATTTTTAAATTTATGAATAACCCAAAATGTTTTTAAAGATGACTAAGAAATATTCAATGTCATTCCATTTATTTTTTTAAAGTAGTCTTTCATCATTGCTATATATTTAAGCTACAGTTGTATTTCAGCAACATTTAAGTTTGATTATAAAATTAATATGTGATCATAAATTTCAGCAAAACAGAATACTATACTGACTACAACAGCACAAAGCCACAAAAGCCAGGTGCGATGTGCGCAACCTTAATCTCAATGCTAGGCAGGCAGAGGCAGGAGCCTCTCTGTGAGGTCAAAGCCAGCCTGATCTATACAATTCCAGGACAGCCAGGGCTCAGTGAGACACTGTATGAGTGCGCACATGTACACACACACACTAAAACCACCACCAAAAAGTCATGATTCTGATGTGATGAGCTTCTTTCTCAGCCATCTTGGGCATACCCAAGTTTGCAAGTTTGCACTGGGCTTTTACCCCAACATCCAGCTTCACGTTTCTACTTGGACAGTTCTCCTGTGTGTTAAAACATCCCAGGCAAATCCCATCCCCTGTCTCACATGCTATCCACCAACAGTGTTCCTTAAGTTATAACTGTAATGACATTTTTAAAAAACAACATGTATGAAGTCTATACTACTACTCAACAGTTACCCTGATCTTATGTCAGCAGTGGAAGCATATGTCGGTAGAGTCATGAACTCAAACACTAGCCATGTGACACCAAGATACGGGTCCTTCGTCCCAGGTCACAAAGCATCTTGAACAAGAGCAGAGGAACAACTGCCCCTGCTCAGTGCATCTGATTATCACTCAGTGATCCTGGACTAGGGTGAGGGGTTTCTCTCCAGTGCCTCAAATGAGGTCAAGACTTGTTACGTCATTGCTGAACCCCGCTCCTGTTCCATGGGAGGCGTCAACGAGACAGAGTTTGGCAGTACCTGTAAGGCTTGACTGTAGACACACCACAGCCCCACTGACAGCGCGACCAAGCCTGTCTGAGGGTTGACACTGCTTCTTAGCCTGGTTTAAAAAGGAGAACTGAAACACTTTTGCCTTTGTCCTACTGCCCTCAGTTCA